TATGAACTTAATTTGTTCCAGGGGTCCTTATGTACCCTGAAAAGTCCGCAACATGAGATGCTGCTTCTGTGCATGCGCAAAGCACGATAGAGCGCTTCTGCAAATGTGCGCGCAGCGACCTAGATGTGGATACACTTCTGGGTTTGCTGCGTTTGCAACCAAAAAGTTACGTTACCCAAAGGTAACATAACTCGAGGGTCCACTGTATATTTTAAACTGAATTTCTTGCGACCTCCTTTGAAAACACTTTTATGGATCAATACCTTAATTATTAAAAGAGGAAGAACAGATGAAACATACTTCAACAACAGTGGCATTCACTAAGAAACTGTCACGAGCAATAGAATTTAATAATATGGATGAACTTTTAATCGCTTAAAAAAATTAAGCTTACCATGTTGCCTGGAAGACAATTCTTTCATGCAACAACACTTGCCTAAAATCATGCCCTCTTGCTTCCTTCCCCCCTTTTCTCCATAAACTCCAAAAACAGCCTAACCTTCTGACAGACCCACTTTTTGTCATATGAGCATAAGGACTAAATAACCAGACTTAACACAACTTCCTATATGCAGTCCATGAAGGAACCTATGTAACCTATGGGTTAGAAAAATGCCCAAAAGTACTAGTTTTGAATTGTTCAGTTTACTTCTAGAAGACAGAAGACCAGAGATTACAGCATTAGTCGCAAAAGTTTGCACAACAGCCTAGAAAATACGTCAGTTGTTCTTACCTCCTGGGTCAGCGTAGACCATTTATCTCACTTTTAAATTACTGAGTCTTCAATTTTCGTTTTTCCTTTATTTTATCATTACTAGCTTTTGATGTATTAAATAGAGTACAGTGGATTTTAATATAGATCAACATCTCTATACTAAAAATGGAGGGGATCAACCCATTCCTGGTCTGTATCAATTTTTCAATGTGCTAATTCATTATTTACTTATTAGTTAAATTTACATCTTGCCCTTCTTCCAAAAGGAACCCAAGGTGGCAGGTCCATTCTGTACTGTTTCTGCATTAATCTGATATATTTGTACAAAATTTTGATGCATGCTGTCAAGGCTGCCTCAGGTCTCAGCTCACAAAAGACCAACGCCAATCTCTTCTTATATACAAAAGTGTTTATTGCAGTTCATTGTTAGCTTCACATCCGAGGTGCGCAGCCCCACGTCTCTTACGCTTAGACCGTTGAAGTCCCCTCTGAGTCAGTCCCTCCCCTGCACCAGTTTAAGAAGCTTGCGCTGCTCCACCTCTTCCTCTCTTTCCTTTTCCGCAGGGTCTTCCTGCCCCCTGGGGTTTCGCCCCTCCTGGATTCCCCTGACGCGGAATACCCAGACTGCTCTTCCCCCCTCCTGCGGGCTTTGGGACCTGGCTCTTCCTCCGGGCTCCCTGTACTTCCGCGCGCCTCTACATTTGAACTTGGCGCGCGCGCCCAACCTCTAACCTTCCTTTTGACAGTTACACTACTCCCTTCACTACTCCCCTCCCCTTCCGGGAGGGTGGCTTGCTCCGACCTCCCTCCCTCCCTTCTCTGCTGCCGGAGCTGCTTCCCCTGATACACTGGAACCCCCACCCCCTTCGCTGCACTCTGGCGGGGAGGCTGGTCCTGACGCCCAGCTGCCACTTTGGGATCCCCTGCTGACCCCCTGTTCCTGACACGTCCCCCCTGGGGCTCCCCTGGCCCTGACCACCGGCGCCCCCTTCTGGGAATCCTCTGATTCGCTGGAAAGACTCATGGAATCTCTTGAGTCATTGTCATCCTCTTCCTCGCTGTCCTGGGATTCATCCCCATCGCTCTCCATCTCCTGCCTACCCTGTGCCTCTGTCCCTGAACCCCTGACACATGCAATTGGACAACGTTTTGTTAGAAAACATATACTTCTTTTGGAAGCAAAATCTGAAGGATGGTACTGCGAACTGGATCACTTTGCTATAAATACTGTAAAGGTGCAATTCTCCTCCATCCCTTCTTCTTTACCTAGAGCAGGAATCCACCAGCACTCAAGGCATTTTACCATGCAGTTAATGCAGCAAAATCGATAGGGCTGAACTCTTCACGCAAACTAAATACTTGCCGCATCCTTGCTCTTTGCTATACTGAATGACTACCATGCATAAACTTTGATATCCTGCTTCACGGCCACCTGCCACAATCTAGCTCTACAGGAAATATTGCTGGAGTAGACAGGGGAGGGGACCATGACAAATGCCATTTCAGAGCACATATGGCCCCCATTACAACTAGTGTTCCCTCACAACTTTGAAGTTCATTTAATAAGAAAGAGGACTCATTAATGCTTCATTATGTAAAATGCAGTGAACTTGCTCTATGGTACTACACACACAGAGAGAATGGAATTTTGTCAGCCTTTAAAATAATGTTGTAGGGGGTCCTCTACCTCCTCCTGCAGTTTGGTATCTTCTTTGCTTGTGGTCACTGGAGAGTTCATGTACTCTTGATAAATTGCTTTCTTCCATCCACAGTGTAAATGCCCTTATCATTTCCCTGCTGGCTTCATTCAGCACATCTGCCCTGAGGGACACTTTGTCAAAGAGTTCTGGTTTCCTCGTACTTCATTTCTTGCTGCTGATTTGTCTGATCTTTCCTATTCTAGCAGTTTAGTCAACCTTGAATAAATAGGTTTTTAAAAATTAATTTAAAGTTCGCAAAAGATAAGGGATTGTTAAGCTCGGGGATTGAAGTCCTCTGTCTCTCCGCAAAGCATTCGCACTGCAGAAGTATGAAGGACGGCGTTCTGCCAAATACACTCAAAAATATTATTTTTTGAATTCAAATTTACAAGCTAGCCAGAGAGAGCGACATATTTTCTATATAATCACTAATGGTGGCATTGCCGCAATATATAGATGTATTTCAATGCAAGAAAAGCACACATTTGTAAACCTGACTACTGGATGAAAAAAAGCCTTTCAGATATAACATTCCCAGCCTTCCAAGTATGGTGAGGTGTGTGTGTGTGTTTGCTGTGGGTTCTTGCACTCCCACCCCAGCCAAATTTCCATTCTCTTGCATCACAATTTGCTAGCTAATGCTGTGCCTTCCTGATACTACAGACTACAACTTTCCATCAGTCCCAGGGCCAGCCTGGCTAATTGTCAAGGACAATGGGAGATGTAATCTGGTACATCTGATTTTTTTTTTTTAAATAAATTTTTATTAATTTTCCAAACACAAAATAAAAAGACAAACAATACACAATACACCGACATACAATCATATAAACATGTATAATTTCATAACCATTTTTTTCATAAACCTTGCTTTCCGGACTTCCCCATACCTCCCCTTTTCTGCATCCTTGTTTTATATTTTTTCAGCAACTCCTCAGTCAACTAATTATTCAATTCATTTTCTTTTAAATTCTTCTAATATTGTTAATTACAGCTGCAATTCTCTATTTCCCTGCCCCTTGACATTTTAACATTCCTGAATTTTACAACAAGTTCTAAGATAAACTTTGAATTTCTTCCAATCTTCTTCCACTGTCTCTTTCCCCTGGTCACGGATTCTGCCAGTCAACTCCGCCAGTCCCATGTAGTCGATCACCTTCGTCTGCCATTCTTCCAGTGTGGGTAGTTGTTGTGTCTTCCAATACTTTGCTAGAAGAATCCTTGCTGCTGTGGTCGCATACATAAAAAACGTCCTGTCCTTCCTTCTCACCGATTGGCCGACAATGCCCAGGAGAAAAGCCTCAGGTTTTTTAGGAAAGGTCCATTTAAGAACCTTCTTAATTTCATTATAGATCATTTCCCAAAAAGCTTTTATCCTCGGGCAGGTCCACCAAAGGTGATAAAAAGTACCTTCAGTCTCATTACATTTCCAACATTTGTTATTGGGCAGATGATAAATTTTTGCAAGCTTGACTGGGGTCATGTACCACCTGTACATCATTTTCATAATGTTTTCTCTTAAGGCATTACATGCCGTAAATTTAGTACCTGTGGTCCAGAGCTGTTCCCAGTCAGCAAACATAATGTTATGACCAATGTCTTGTGCCCATTTTATCATAGCTGATTTCACCGTTTCATCCTGTGTGTTCCATTTCAACAGCAGATTATACATTCTCGACAGATTCTTAGTATTGGGTTCTAACAGTTCTGTTTCTAATTTTGACCTCTCCATCTGGAAACCTATTTTCCTGTCCTGTTTAAATGTCTCGTTTATCTGAAGGTAGTGCAACCAATCTCGCACTTTGGGCTTTAATTTCTCATAACTCTGTAATTTAACTTTTTCCCCATCTTGTTCTAAAATTTCACAATATTTTGGCCATTTAGACTCCATATTAAGTTTTTTCACCTCTTTAGCTTCCATTGGTGACAACCACCTGGGAGTTTTACTTTCCAGTAAATCTTTATACCGCATCCAAACATTATATAATGCTTTCCTAACAATATGGTTTTTGAAACCTTTATGCAGTTTTACCTTATCATACCATATATATGCATGCCAGCCAAATCTATTGTCAAACCCTTCTAGATCCAAAATGTCTGTATTCTCAAGAAGTAGCCAATGTTTCAACCAGCAGAAAGCCGCCGATTCATAGTAGAGTCTTAAGTCCGGCAGGGCAAACCCCCCTCTATCTTTTGCGTCAGTTAGAATCTTAAATTTTATTCTGGGCTTTTTTGCCCTGCCAGACAAATTTAGATATATCTTTCTGCCACTTCTTGAAACAGTCCATCTTGTCCAAAATCTGCAATGTCTGGAATAAAAACAACATTCTAGGCAATACATTCATCTTGATAACAGCAATTCGACCTAACAAAGAAAGTTTCAACCTTGACCATATTTCTAGATCTTTCTTTACCTCTGTCCAACATTTGTCATAATTGTCCTTAAATAAATTGACATTCTTAGATGTTAAGTTTACCCCCAGATACTTTACTTTTTTTCGTTATCACTAAACCTGTTTCATTCTGAAACTTCTCTTTTCAGCTAATGTTAAATTTTTATCCAACACTTTCGTTTTCTGCTTGTTCAGTTTAAATCCTGCTACTTGACCAAATATCTCAATTAGTTCTAATACTCTTTTAGTACTAGTATCTGGCTGTTGCAAGGTCAGTACTAGATCATCTGCAAATGCCCTTAGCTTGTAATGTCTAGCTCCGACTTGTACTCCTTTAACCAACTGGTCTCCTCTAATCATGTTTAACAAAACCTCCAGGACTAATATAAAAAGTAAAGGGGATATTGGGCACCCCTGTCGTGTACCTTTTTCTATAGATATTTCTTCCGTGACCACATTGTTTACAATTAACTTTGCTTTTTGTTTAGAATATATTGCACCTATACCGTTTTCAAACCCTTGACCTACCCCCATCCCTTGGAGATTCTTCTTCATAAAGCTCCAACCAATATTATCAAAGGCTTTCTCCGCGTCCACAAAAATTAAAACAGCCTTCCTATTGATGTCCACTTCTAACAGTTCCAAAATGTCTATAATGTTCCTCACATTGTCCGACATATGTCTCCCTGGAAGAAAGCCAGTTTGGTCCTTATGAATCTCCCCTACCAACACTCTCTTCAGTCTTTTTGCCATAATGTCTGCAAAAATTTTGTAATCCACATTGAGTAATGATATAGGGCGGTAGTTTTTAACCTGGTTCTTTTCAGTTTCAGTTTTCGGTATAAGTGAAATAAAGGCTTCTTTCCACGACTCTGGTGCCTTTTTCCCCTCCAAAATTTCATTGCATACTTCCTTCAGTGGTTGTACTAGCCATTCCTTCAACGCTTTATAATATCTGGCGGTCAAACCATCTGGTCCTGGAGATTTTCCCAATTGCATCTTCTGAATGGCACCCTCTATTTCTTGTCCTGTTATTTTCTCATTCAAAATCCTTCTGCTTTGCTCTGAAATTTTTGGTAATCCATGTTTCTTAACAAATTCTTCTATTTCCTGTTCGTTAACTGGCCCTTGTGCATATAATTTCCTGAAGTAACTTTGAAAACAATTACTTATCTCGTTTGGTTTGTGGATAATTTTTCCATCCACTTCTAAACTTGTCACAGTGTTCAGTTTTTGCCTCTTTTTCAATTGCCATGACAGAAATTTCCCACATTTATCTGCTGATTCAAATGTCTTTTGTCTCATTTGCTTTATTTTCCATTCTATCTCTTGGTTCATCAATTCCATATATTGCACCTGATAGTGCTTTATTTCTCTCAGAATCTCATGGGACTTTGGTTTAGACCTCAATTTCTTTTCACCTTCTTTTATTTTTTCCAGAATTTTTTCTTTCCTTTCATTTTGATTTTTCCTCTTTATGGAGTTCTGTTGTATTAGAAAACCTCGCATCACGGCCTTACTTGCGTCCCAGATTATTCTTTTTTCCACTTCTGTTCTCAAATTTATCTCAAAGTAATCTTTCAGTGTTTTTTGGGCCTTCTTATAAATCTCTTCATCTCTAAATAGGGTGTCATTCATTCTCCATCTAAAGGATCCAGTTGATGCTAGTTTCATCTCCATCTTTACAGCATTATGGTCGGAGCAAGTCTTTGAGCAGATTTCTACCTTTTTGATCCTTGGCGCCATACTGCTAGTTACCCAAATTTGGTCAATTCTTGTCCATGTCATTTTTGCTTCAGAGAAAAAGTTCCCTCTCTCTCAAGAGGGTTCCTTGTTCTCCAAATGTCAATCAAGTCCATAGTTTCAGTCATTTCAAAAAAGTCTTTGGTAGTCTCCTTCCTTGGAAATTACTTGTCTTTGTGCTTTGTCCATATTTGTGGAAACTACACCATTCATGTCTCCCATCATTACTACTCTATAGTCTAAATAGTCCATTAAAGTCTCATGCAGCTTCTTAAAGAATTCCGCCTTCCCGTCATTTGGTGCATAAATTCCGACTATCAAGATTTTTTCTCCTTGAACTTGTATTTCAATTGCCAGGTATCTTCCTTGTTCATCTTTAAATATCATCTTTGGGGCCAATTTTTCTTTTGCATAGATCACCACGCCTCTTTTCTTAACTTTGTCTGATGAAATAAATTCCTGTCCAAGTCTCTTATTTACCAATAATTTCCTATGTGTCCTGGTCACATGGGTCTCTTGTAGACATATTAGGTCTAATTGTTCTCTTTTCAAAATATGAAAAACTTGACGTCTTTTTCGGGGAAGGTTCAAACCATTACAATTCCAACTAAGAAGCTGCAGAGACATTTTGTTATTTAGGTACCTGTTCCACCGACTGCTCCTAACTTTTGTTCATCTACAGATGGTGGTATGAGTCCAAATGACAAGTTTGCAATGTCTGTCACTCCTTTTTCTTGTATTGTTGTTTCTACTGTTCCTTTCTGCAAGTCCTCCTGATATCTCTCCAAAAACTGTTCTTTATCTTGAACTGTTCTTATTTTGACCTTCCTTCCTTTGAAAGTAAAAGACAATCCTTGTGGAAACTCCCACCTGAAGGGTATGATATTTTTCTTCAGCAGGTAGACCAAATCTTTATAGAAGGCTCTCACCTCCAAAATATATTTAGGGATATCTTTAAAAATTTGTACTTGACTATTTTCAATCTCCAATGCCTTTTGGTAATGCAAGTTCAATATTTTATCTCTTTCTCCTTTGGATCTCAATGTAATCAAACAATCCCTTGGCTTCTTACCTTGCCTCCTGCCCAGCCGAAAAGCTGTTGTTATTTCAAGGTCTTCTTCCTGCAGCTCCTTTTGCCAAAATTCCATAAAGTTCTGTGTAAGGAAGTCCACAAGGCTATCTCCCTCACTCTCGGGTACCAATCTCAATTTCAGATTTCTCTCTTTTCTCTGTAATTCCAGCAAAGATAGGGCTGCATCATGTTCATTCACTTTTTTTGTAATCGGCACAAGCTCCTCCCTTGTCTCCTCTGCAGTATTTTTTGCACTTTCAGCAATCTTTCGTGTTTCAGAACTTTCTTGAATTAATTTATTAATAGATTCTGTATTAGATGTTACACTTGCAGTATTCAAGTCCAATCTTGCTGTCAGTTCTGTCAATTTTTTTGAATTTTCCGTAGATAGCTTTGTCAGTGCTTCTAAAGATTGGTTTATTTTGAGCAGTGCCTGTGTCATTGAATCCATAGATGCTGTTGCCACTTTTTCCTGTGCAGCTGGTGGTATGCCAGATATTGAGCCCCTTTTCTTTTGTGTCTGTTTTGCTTTGGATCTAGTTGTTATCTCTTCTGCTGGACCACTCATATCCTCAAGGTCGTTCTCACAGGAAAGACTTGCAAGTGGAAAATCCCACTGTTTCTTTTTCACTATAACAGTTTCTCTTTATACCCTCTAGAGGGAGCATTTAATTGTATCCAAGTGAAAAGAGAAAGAACAAAGGAACATAGAGCAATCAACAAAAATCCAAGAGTCCACAGTAAAAGTTTCTGTCGCACTTTTTCAGTATAGTCACAAGTTCAACAAAGTAATTCCATTAAAGTCCCGTAACTTTGTTTCAGACAAAACCCCAACTTTGTATCCAGTCTAAACTGACAGTTCACTTTCCCAGTGCCTTACTCAGGCAGTCCGTTCAGGGGATTTGGCAGTGAAAGATGTTTTTTTCCTCAGTTAATTTCAAGCAGATTAACAGTGTCCAATTTTCTTCCCCCCTTCTCCTGCTTACTGGGGGGAAGTTTAAGTCAAATGTCAGGTTTGACAGCTCAAAGATAGTTTTCTTTCAAATGCAGCTTTGCTCTTTCGTTGCTTTAATTGCCATGCAGATCGGGAGGCAGACTTCCTTAATTTATGCCTTTCCCGTTTTCAGCCAAATTTCGGAATTTAAATTTAAATGTCCCATTCAATCCCTCCGTCTTACTCACGGGGTTTTCAGTCGAATTTATAGTTCAGGAAGGAATCGGCGCTCTCCGTTCATGGCGATGCGGCTTCACTCCACGAGCTGGGTTGCGACTCTCAGCTCCGCGCTACCCCCGATGCCGCTCCGTAGCCTTTAAAAAGGCTCTTTCACAGTACCGAGGGGCGCAAAAGGTGCCCACCGAGTCTCCTTGTTCACAGGCTTCAGCGCCTGTGATTTTAGGGGTCCCCCGCTCGCCGTAGCGGGTCAGACCCGAACTCGCGAAGCAGTCCTCCTCCGGAGCTCGAAGCGAGGACCGCCATTAAACGCTGGCGCCGACCGGAAGTCCCGTAATCTGGTACATCTGAAGGGCACCACGTTGGCCACTCCTGGAATAGCATTATACCTGCACTAGTGACATTTAACGCTTATCAGATTAGGGTTTGAAAATCCACTTCCAATAGTAGTTTCAAACACAGTTTACATAAGCAATCCCACTTAGAATTAATCACAGTTGGCACTGACAAAGACAGAGAGATTAAGGCACTCCACAGAAGGGAGAATGGATTCATGTAGGAGGGCGGAGATAGACTGAGCTGTCTACCATGTGCCCAATTGCTTGTCCAAAAGCATTACATATGCACCAGGCCTTAATCCAGGCTTCCTCAACCTCGGCCCTCCAGATGTTTTGGGACTACAATTCCCATCATCCCTGACCACTGGTCCTGCTAGCTAGGGATCATGGGAGTTGTAGGCCAAAAATATCTGGAGGGCCGAGGTTGAGGAAGCCTGCCTTAATCGGTAATGGAAAATGCTTAAAGGCCTTGGTGCTGTGGGAAATTCCTTGAGCACCTCTTTAGGCTTATTCTTTTTGCGCTTGAGCTTATTTTTCGTTTTATTTTTCTTTAAAGTCAAGAGGTTGCATTTGTATAACCACAAGCCCGAGGTGTGACTTGGGGAAAGGTGAAGATTTGTTAAGGATCTTGGATCCCGCTCAGAAAAGGAAATTTTAGAGCTGTTCAAAGTATGAAGTACGCAATCATCCAAATATACAGAGTAGCAAAAGGGATATAACTGCTGTTGTGTGGCATTACACACAGAGAGAGCTATTTAGAATTAGGAAATATACTTTGACAGCTTAACCTTGGCTTGCATTTTTTCAAAGGAAACTGATAAAGGCACCTCAAGCCCACTATGGTTATGAGAGAGCTCCAATAGAGATGCAGTCTATATTTAACTGTTTTTATATCTGGGGACAGAGAGAGAGAGAGAGAGAGAGAGAGAGAGCTTGCAAGTGTTTAAAATTGTTTTCAAACTTACTATTTTTATTGTTGAACCCCCCCCCCCCAGGACCTTATGGTAAAGGAATATAATAAATAGATTAGAACAGGGGGACACATGATCAATTTTAAATGCAGTAATCCTATTCCTGTCTATTCAGAAGCAAGTTCCATTGAATTCAATGGGAGTCACTCTCAGGCAAGTGTGGTTAGGATTGCAGACTAAGGAAAAATTTCTAACTATTGCTAACAGCTGGTTCAAACATTATGTAGGAACTTGCTTTCGTGCAGTAAGTTAAAGAGGCGCTACTTCCTGGTGTTTTGTTTCCGTGACTATGTTGATTCTACAGAATAGATTCAGTTGTGGTTTTATTATGCACTTTGATGGCACCGATAGAGTGAACAGTGGTATATAAATCTTCTAATAAATGAAGAATATACAATTTATGGGGGGATGAGAACCATTCCTCTTAAAAAGCTGGGGAAATGTTAGATCATTCTTCTGTGATCTACTCTAAACCCACAGGGCCAACACAAGAGTTTGATGCCAGTTCCTTTAGTTCTTCATACAGAAGTGAACACATGGTATCTCAAAAGTAGAAATGGCACTGAATGTGCTATCTGGCTGATGTGCTAAGCTGCTGGTCTTTGGCTGTCTGTCTATCCCACAAACTCCACAATGCAGAAATGTGGCAACACCAGCCATAAAGTCCTCCACATTAATGAATCTGCCGTCTAATCACAGAGAACTGTGCTTGCCTTTTCCAAAGGAGCTATTCACATTTCCCACTTTGAGGGCAAGTGCAATCTGGGAGCATGTCCCAAATTTCAAAGGTAGCCAGGTCACCACCTGAAGTTTCAGCAAACCTTTTTTTAAAAAAAAAGAAAAGAAAAAGAAAAAAGAAACCCTCAACCGGCCTGTATTAAAAAGGTAAGTCCAATCCCACCTAAACATTTTTTGATTTTGTCCCACTCCCAAAGATTAATCAAATATTTGGGGGTAACCCTCCAAAAGTACCCAATATTGCAGGGACAAATTGATCCAGCTGGGATCAATAGAAGGCAATAAATGGGATAAACCTGCAAACAACAAACTTTTATTTGATGTTGCTAGTGACCTTTCCTTACTTGTGAGTGAACGGTAAAGAACAATTCTATGCCACAGGGAAGGGCATTGCTAGTTAATACAGAACCGTATCAAATGCTATGTGGAATCTCAATTTTAATTCTGCTCCCAACTAATTATATAAAAGCTGCACTACAGCAGCACGAAAAGGCTGTTGTGTGCAAGCAGCCACTATCCATAAAGTATCAGATCATAGAGAAATCCTAAATATTTGATTCCTGAAGCAAAACAGACTATGAACCTCGCCATTCCTCACCTTTCAGTACGATGTCTTGTGAATTTTTTATTTTCTGCTCATTCTCTGCATTTCCTTCCTTTCTCAGATTCTTCAGTTTGTTCTCCTCATTCCTCTGGAACACACCCTACTCCAAACCAAGCTCTTTTCCTTGGCCTATAAGACATCTAGGTCATTTGTCGTCCCTTTTGACTCCTCCTCATCCACCCCCTGGCTTATCCATCTGCCCCAAAGCATTCAAGTCAGGAGGTAGCCGTGTGGCATTAGGGCACAGCCTCACCACCAAATCCATGAATGCAGTATAATTAATGATGGTGTCAGAATGCTGGGTGGTGGTTGCTCGTGAGTAACCAGCCAGGACTCCGACCTGTCTTTTACAGGTTTTATTGTGCAAACTATTTACAGTGCAGATACACAAGGTTCATGTCCGTCTTAGTCACTTGCAGTGCCCGGGAGTGGCCCCTTCTGGCTTCTCCCCCAACGTTAAGAACTTAGACACCCCAAATCTCTGCCTCCCCTCCTTGCGTTTCACCCCTCTGTGCAAGCTTGGCGACGGAAGTAGCGTGTGTGCCTTCTGGCCAACCAGGCTAGGTGAGACACTTGGGCTCTCAGCAGCGTCTTTGAACCCTCTCCTTGCTTGGCTGGCCCCTTCCCTCTCTTCTCCACTGGAGGTGTGGCTTTTCCCCTCGCTGGAAGAGGAACTGCTCCTTAGAAGCATCAGAGACTCCCTGTATCCCAACGGCGTTCCGATGGCAGTCCCCTGACAGATGAGATAATGTATTCATGCCTGATTTGGAATGAGGCCAACATTGTAAATGAAAAGTGGAAAATACTCGCAGGAGGGAGATCCCCAATAATTCTACATTCTCTTGCAATTGCCACCCCAAATTCCAAATCCATTTACTTTGTGGCTGTTGCGCGGCACCGCTGAGGCACCGCTCTCTCTTTCTCTCAGCATTGTCCACTGAAATGACAGGGACAGAGACCATTGCCTTCTCAGTACCTCAAATGCTACTATGGCAGAGAACACTGTTTGGGTCTTAGGGATGGGTAGTGACCAGGGTGGATAAAAATCAATGATTTATTTTTATTTTAAAATTTTAAAAAGTCAGATTTTTAAAATTTAAATTGGATTTTTAAAATAAAACGCTTTTGGAGGAATAATCTTTCTAAAGATAGTTTTCTATTTAAATTACATTATAGTCCATCAGGAAATAGGGATTTGTTGTAAGTTTTTAATGTTTGCTAAAACTCAGTCTAAGTTTTTTTTTTTTAACCATTTAACCACATCAGTTAACAAACATGGGTACATATGCTATAATGTTATTGTTTTAGTGAAATAAATTGTTATTAAGGAAATGATTATTTTCCTCCTACCTATAAAGTACAGCAGAAAAGTTGTCCAAATATAAACAATTAACTTATTAAACCTTGCAATAATTTCATAATTACCTATGTATTTCTAATAGTATAACCAAATCAGTAATCTTTGAGATAACTGTAAAAACTACCCTGAAAATTTATTATTCCAAAAACGAAACCTTCATCTGGTTGTAAATATTAAGCTTATACCAGCAAGAATGAGTCTTTCTGTAAAAAAAAGGATTTAAATCAAGCCTTACTGACCAGTGATTTAAATCGTGATTTAAATCAAATCCACCCTGGCAGTGACTTCAAATCATTGGCTGTGTGACTAAATCCCCCAGGGCAGTGACTTGAAGCAACACTTCAAAGCACTGTGCAAGCCCTGCTTTGTGCTTTGAAGTCCCTGGCGATCATCACCAAATGTCATTGTGATGTTGGGAGATTGACAGACGGGCAGTTCTGCCCATCTATCAATCTGGCCCATGGCGAGTAGGGGAGATAAAAGATCTGGCTGGTTACTCAGATCCGATTCTCCACCCTTGCTCTAGGGCAGAGCTTTCCCGACTTTTCATGTTGGTGACACACTTTTTAGACGTACATCATTTCGTGACACAGTAATTCAGTTTTACTAGCAAACCAGAGGTTAAACTAACCCATTTTCAGCCCTGGGATGAATGTGGGGAGAGTTTGCATGACAAACCTACATACTGCACACACTAATATGTTGTTATATACAGTTTGGAAAGCTCTGCTCTAGGACATCAGAGAATTTTAGCACCATTCCAGGAAAGATTGAGAAATGTAAGTTTTCTAGGCACCTGATATCTATGTCCACCCCAGAAAAACTAAACAAACAAACCTGCATACTACAATAGCCAGTGATGCCAGGTGCAAAAAAAAATCAAAAATGGAAACTGTTCCTTTGCTTTGTTCTCTGGAGGAATTTATTTTCCATTTTATGGGTAAAATGTCAACTGCAAACACAGTACTACACAAGTGGGTCACTTTCAAAGTTTGTACCTTTGTTTATCAAATACAAGCAAACAGGCTAAATTAAATCTCTAGGGCATCAGAAAATTTTCCAAAGGGGCACAAAGTCAAAATACTTGCGCCAATACAAAAAAAATGAATATTTCGTGTAGTGTTAATAAATGGAACAAACTGCTTAAATTCTCAAGTGAATATAAGAAGCCAGAAGGGCTTGCTAAAGCTATCCATTACACCTGATATTCTACAAAGTATTATTTGTTTTTGGAGAATGGTTTGGGTTAAAGTAAGCTACCACACAATATAAAGAACCAGACAAATATACTTTACAATATTCTAAAGTTTTCAGTTTGACAATGTTGGTGTAAGTGACAGACACATGCAATGCAGTTCATTTCAGGGGTTTTTTTCTTTCTTTCTGGGAAGATGCCAAAAGTGGTGTCATATTTTCCTTTGGAAATGTTTCTGAGCCAGTTTTAATGCTCGAGCCTGATACACCCAAGAGACAATCTGTATCTTTCACACAGGACATGGAACCATTGTCTTGAGTGCATGAAGTCACCATAAAGCACAGTTTGCAACAGTAAAAAGGTGTGCTGCTTGTTTCATTTGACCTCTGAACTTTCTGGAATGGAATAATGCATTCTTACACATTTTCTGTTTCACTGAATTTTGCACTGCCATGCAATTGGGGCACCACCCCTGCCCCCCTCCTGCCGGATTGCTAACTGTAGATAGCTATTTCCCATCATCCATAATTTTCCTTCTCCATTCCTTGCCAGAAAATTTGGTATGAAATCAGGATTACAAATGTGTGTGTACATCAACACATATGCATGGTTTTGTGATTTTCTGATAAATACACCGAAAAATCCCAAAACCCACTTGATTCAGTAGCTATCACAATATTAAAGGAGGGAGGAAAACTCTTCTTTTTCAGCAGATGGCTCTATGGCATCGCCTCACTGTCATGATCTCTAGATACTCATGAAGGTGTTTAGCAAGATTATGACCCAGATGAAGCTGACTAGCTGTATATGATAACAAGAGAGAGCATATATTCGAACTTAAGGCTCTTTCCCAGTATTATTGCTCTACACCAGGGGTCAGCAAACTTTTTCAGCAGGGGGCTGGTCCACTGTCCCTCAGACCTTGTAGGGGGCCGGACTATATTGGGGGGGGGGAGAATATGAACGAATTCCTATGCCCCACAAATAACCCAGAGATGCATTTTAAATAAAAGCACACATTCTACTCATGTAAAAACACGCTGATTCCTGGACCGTCCTCAGGCCGGATTGAGAAGGCGATTGGGCCAGACCTTGGTACGCCCACCCATGTGCTACAGCGCAGCTTCACACCCTTGTGAAACCTGATAAAATTTAAGAGTTAAAGAGTTAACAGCAAAAGTAGCTCTAGTTATTGGAAACTGACTCTTGCCACCCTGTCTGAATTCTCGAGTCAAGCTCATGATGTTATGTGCTTAGTGCTCCAAGAACACACTGGTCCCAAATTCTTTCACGGGTGCAGTAGTAAAATAGTCTCAAAACAAAAGAAGATTCATTTGTTTTCTTCTGCCGCAAGACAGGTGATTGTGAGAAGCTGCTTTTGGAAATGGCTAATGGAAGTAGTCTTAAAGCAGCGTTCTGCAACCTAGGGCCCTCTAGATGTTGTCGACTCCCATCAGTGCCAGATAGCATGGCCACCGGTCAGGGATTATGGAAGTTGCAGTCCATCAGCATCGGTCTGAGGAAGCTGCCCTGACAGTACTCAGTACTTCTTGAAATCTAACTTTATAATTAACTGTCAAAATATTGAGTCAAACAATTTATGGTACTTTCGCACAAAGCATGAACACACAAATGGGAACAGGGTTTTAATGTCCCTTTGAAAAAGTAACCTACACATGCCTCTGCCAAGTAATATTGATAAAGATAATGAGCAAGCTCCCACAGATTGTAAAGAAACTGCACATATGATGATTCATGCCATAAAGGCGACCTTTGGAGTCAAATTCAAAATAACAGATTAGTCTACAACATGCATTCAATATGCAACGCCAAAACTAACTTGGCACCGTTGGACCACTAAGTTATTACGTAGCACACCGATTTTTTACATTGCATTTTTTTCCCCAACTGAAAGGGGGGAAAGGGGGAAGGAGCTGTTTTTCGATTTATATTTTATTAGGGTTTTGAGACCCAGTACAATTCAAAGGAAATTAAATACACACTGTGCATTAAAATAATGGCAAGCGGTTTGTTCAATTCATCAAGTGCCAGAAAGTGCAAAGCTAGATTCTTATTTCATCTATTACTTAGCCAGTTAAGCTTAGATGTAGCTATGCAAGACCTCTTACTGACCCACAACTTCTGCCACATTGGGGGAGTCTAGGGTGCCTCAGCTGAATGTGTGTTTAATTACTACACACATGCACTATCCTGCCCTTTAATAGAGATGTGGTTCTGGACGCCAGAACTGTTGGATGGTATCATAAAAGAAAACGTAGTGATTGAGGTATACATGACAAAACCTGGAGGGCTTTGGTTTTAAACTAAATGTGATTACTTCTAAGAAGCACGTATACTGATGTCTAAGATCACTTACTTTACACACGGAGTAGTTACTATTAAAAATAGTTAAATGTGACTAGCTACTAAATATACAAATGACTTTGCTTCAAAATGAATAGGTGAGGAAATGACCTGTATTGATAAGACCACTATACTTATTATAATATAGAATACAGCAGGTGTGTTATCTGTTCATTTAATCTTGTTTAATCAAGTTTAATCTTGAATACAATCAAGATCAAACATTTAACCTTCGCTGATAATCTTTCTGCTAACCCAGTTCTCTTGCCTTTCCTGAAATGTGAAGCTATGTCTCTGGCTAATGCTCTAGGGTATAGAAGAGGGAACATTTTATATTTCTTTCCATTTCAAAAACTCTTCAAGTGGCACAAGTCATGTTTAAGTAGGAACCTATAATCTTGGCAAGCTCTAGCACTCAGGAGATGGACATTCAATGACCGCCATCCTTGGAAAAAGTGCTTAAGCTACCTGCTAATTGTGCCCTTCTAAATGGCCTCCATCCTTAAGCAGGGAGTGATGGGTTAATGTACTATTATCTAGAGAAGGAAATAAAAGAAGCAGGGAATTATCCCCACCAGCCCTTCAGGTCAAACAGTAAACAACTAGAGTTCAAATGTTTCAGATGAATATCCTGCAAGAGTTGGAACAGCAAATACAAAACTGCAACCTTTGAGTATTTCCATTTATCTTCTTTTCTCTCCACCAATTTAAAACTTCTGCAAGGTGGAGAAAAGTCACTAAAAATGTAAAGAATCGAAGAATTAGCACAAGACAACAAATCATTTTTGTCTTGACTCTGTTTAGGGAAGTTTTTAATAACTGATGTTTTAATGTATTTTTAATCTTTTTGTTGGAAGCTGCCCAGAGTGGCTGGGAAAATCCAGCCAGATGGGCGGGGTATAAATAAATAAATTAGTAGTAGTAGTAGTAGTAGTAGTAGTAAGTCCAGATTAACCTTTCTTTCCAGATTCATTTAGGATGCAATCTTCTAATTTGCAACTTCCATGTACTTAGTAAAAGTATTTAAATACATTTTAAAAATTAAATCAACAATGGATTGGCTCAGATAATATGCTAAACCATTGTTCAGTTTAACATTATAATGAGCTTGGGCAAGCCTTTGTTGGGTTTGTGCAATTTGCCTCCAGCACGGCCACAATGAGTTCAGAAACTTTCATCTCAGGTTTTAGATAATCACAGATGGTCATGTTGTCGGAACCTGACAAACTGTGATTAAGCTTAACCAAGGTTAGTAGAAGCCACCGTTTATGAACCTGACTTGGTTTCACTAATCGTAGTTAAGATTAATCACCATTTAGGAGTTTGAACAACATGCTAAACTGTGGTTAAACTAAAATGGAAGTGGAAACTGCCACTCTTATCCTTGCAGTTGGGGGTGGGAGTCTGAAGATCGCTGTGGCCCGGCCTCGTCGCAATTTAGTACTACGTGCAAACCAGGCAGTTGCGAACGCAGCAAAACTGACAAGTGGCTGTCTGTCACGCTCCAGCCATTTGTTTTAATCATGCTAAAAAAGAGCCCCGCTCATAAATCAGCTGAATTTACATAGAATAAAAAAAAGTTATTTTAAAAACAGTCAACGAAATGTTCATTAATTTCTATCTCTATGATCTGATTCCAAGATTAAAAATTTAGATGGCTACTGGGTTTATGTAGCCGAAAGCAGAACCACAGTTTGTTCACATATGATCCTTGCTGTCTGCATTTTTTTTTTATCCCTCTGCAAAACTTTGAACCTCATCCAGCTTTGACACACTGCCTCTTCAGTTAATAACTATCAAGTTTCCCCTTGTCTCCTGTCTACTTTTCTTTGAGGCAATTGCGCACGCAGCACCCCGAGATAATAACACACATCTATAAGATAAAAGCAATGGCATTAATGTAATTGTCTGCCTCTTTCTCTTTAGCCTAATCTTTTTTTCTTTTCAGTTTTGACTGCCTGTGTGACACCTGTTTTTGTCTCCTCTGATCCTACGACAGGTTTTCCGCTGACAAGGTTTTTGCCTGACAGAGATTCTGCCAGACAAGAACATAATAAAATATGAAGAACTGCTTGTCAGAGTTTCTGCCAATGCTCACATGAAATAACCAAAAAGGAAACCCTGATTTCTCTCTCCCCCACCCCCTTTTAAGGGGCCTTGTGATGGTCGCTTTTGGTCTGTCGGGAAAACAGCTTCCTTTGCCAATTCCTCCAAGCTAAACAGGTGTTATCTTTCATAGTCCCTCCTCCACCTTTATTTCTTTTTTTAATTGGTTGTGGAAAACATGAGAACTGGAAAGTGGGGGGGGGGGGGGTTGTCCTAAAACTTTGTTTGCAAAACGAGCAATAGAATCAATTTGTATAGTGTATAGTCAAATAAGGTGGACTGAACACACACACCTTTAAAATGATGATGATATCAAAAAGGCCCCTTGTTTTTTTAAGCTCTGAAAGTGGCATGAGTGCCTCAAAAGGGAATCCCTTCTTTCTTGGATTTACAGCAACAACAACAACAACAGCAACATCATCATCATCATCAACAACAACAACAACAGCAACAGCAACAGCAACAGCAACAGCAACAGCAACTACAACAACTTTATTACTTGTACCCTGCCCATCTGACTGGGTTGCCCCAGCTACTTTGGGTGGCTTCCAACAAATATAAAAGCATAATAAAACATCCAAACATTAAAACATATACAAGAATACAAAAATGTCTGTGGATGTTCCTTAAGAGGAAGCCTATCTAGATTAAAAACCTATTTCACTGGCTCATACATACATATATACATACAAACACACACACAGAATGAAGGATAAACTAAAAGGTATCAGATATACCAAAATCATCCTTTAATTTAATTATTCAAATACTATTCTACTCAAAAGCTAAAAAGAATACTCAATATATTTATTTTTATTAAATCTGTATACCACCCTATACCCATAGATCTCAGATGTCATAGTCTTTGTTCAAAACACTGAAATATACCATCAAACTTGCTCATGCTGTTCTTAACAATACCAAAGCGTATAAAGGGATAGTGGAGGAACTGATTGACAAAGTCCTGGGAAGCTTGGGAAGAAGCGATCATGTCTTCTCGGGTTTCACTATACACAGGCAAGAGAAAGTTGACTATAGTCGAACATGCACTCTGGACTTTAAGAGGACTGATTTCAAAAAAATCTAAGGAACTACTTACTGGGTGAGATCCCATGGTCAGAAATACTCAATGAGAAGGAAGTCTAAGATGGACAGGAGTTTCTTAAAGGTGCAATATTGAAGGCACAAAGGCAGACAATTCCAACAAGAAAGAAAAGCCCCCCCCCCCCCCCGCCCCACGTGATATTCTTATGGAGAAGCTAGTAAAATG